TAGACCGTCGTGAGACAGGTTAGTTTTACCCTACTGATGCACCGCCGTCGCAATGGTAATCCAACCCAGTACGAGAGGAACCGTTGGTTCGCACAATTGGCAATTGTGCTTCGCTGAAAAGCCTGCGGTGCAAAGCTACCGTGCGTGGGATTATGACTGAACGCCTCTAAGTCAGAATCTGTGCTTGCAGCGACGGCGTATGCCTCCTCGGATGACACAAGGCTGTCAAAAGGGCCAGCCGGTCTGGCCCCGAMAGCATAAGTTCGGAGTTGTCCCTCCTGCACAGACTGAAACATTGCCACATCTATGGCTGGATTGTGGACAGCAGCAACGGTTTTGGGAATGGTGGGGGAAGATAGGCACAAACATTCCACTGCACCTCGCTGCTGCTACACATAGGACACAGGTTATGCTGGCACTGGCACTGGCGGGAGCAGCCTCTGATCCCAAGGCGGCATATGCAGGAGACACAGTGAGGGCGGCCTTCTGTGGAGCAGTATGGGCCATCAGACGACGATTACTCAGGATAGGACAACATGGTAACGTGGCTACCCTCAAAGCCTGGACAGTGAGGAACGTACGAGCAGCAGTTACAGCGGATACATACAGACGCCGCAAAGGAGGGTGGTCCTTCTTCAGAGCAGCATGGGCACCATGCTCGGACGTGTTGGAAGTGGGAGAACGGGCAGGAGAGTGGAAATGGGCCACTGCCTTCCACACGTTTGTCGAACAGATGGGACAACAGGAGGAAGGGTCGCAAACCCGGGACACCATCGGCGACACGCATGATTCGATTGGCTGAGCGTAACAGGAGAAATGAAAGGGACTGTGGCAAGACAGATGAAAGCAGGTGGATTGCTCGCTGAGTGACAATGACAAAGATAGTTTAGGAAATCATGTATCATAACATTGACACACCCACAATAGGTTTGTATGCATTGATATAAATACACAAAGGATACACATATTGAGGTATAGTTCTGTATGCATGGATGTCAATACACAAAGGATACACACATCGAGGTGCAGAGCTTATATTTAGTAAAACGCACGCACAAATGTAAGCACACATCTTTGGAGGATCTCACACAGGAGTAGGGCTTACACAGATAAGAACACATAAGGAAATAGATGGATAAAACAGGGGCATGGGTTTCACATACCCTCTACGGGTGCGCTACAACGCCAGGAGAGTTAAGACGACGACTGAGGAATACATCTACAAGACAGAGTTGACGATATGACAATGGAGGACACACAGTTACACCGGGTTGGACTTAAGGGAAGTGATACATATGCTGGAGATAGGATGGGGTTAAATGGTCCACCACCATCTCTGTAAATTAGAAACTCACATTGTATGGTTTCGACTTCTGTTTACACACTTACCTCTACAAGGGCGGGTACAGTAGTTGGGGGAAAGGTGGGGGTAGATGACTATCCATCTGTAGGTAAACTAGGAATAAACATTGACATTTTTGGTGCTTGACTTTTATTTTGTTTTGCTTTGGGGGTAGGGTGGGGGTAGATGACTATCCATCAATAGGCAAACTAGAAACAAACATTGACATTTTTGCTGCTTTTCTTTTATATTGTTTTGCTTTTATCTTAATTTCCTGGAAGGAGCGAAGTCTTGACGACTACTATAGCAGCATTCCTTCCTCACAAAGGGGGTACATTGACAGGGTGCGACATGCCTCCCTGCGACACCCCCCCTGTGAGACAGGAAAGTCTGAATTCAGCAGCCGTCCATTCTGCCGCAAGCGGACCTGGTGCCTACCAAAGCTGATACTTCCACACCCCCAAATGCTGTCCTTCAGTYTGTCTCTCCATACCCTTGCTCTTCTATGCTTGTCGGTGATAAGCAACCGGACTGYYKYCCCCCAGAATAGATGGGGCATGTGTGTGTGTGAGTTTAAAAAAGAAAMAAAGAAACTGCGAATGGCTCATTAMATCAGTTATCATTTATTTGGTGGTCTCCTTACCACTCGGATAACYGTGGTWAATCTAGAGCTAATACGTGCAGCATATCCCGACTTCTGGAAGGGATGTATTTATTGGATAAAAGGCCGATCCGGGCTTGCCCGTTGTTGCGGCGAATCATGGTGACTTGTCAAATCGCATGGCCTTTGAGTCGGAGATGTTCCATTCAAATTYCTTCCCTATCAACTTTCGATGGTARGATAGAGGCCTACCATGGTGGTAACGGGTGACGGAGAATTAGGGTTCGATTCCGGAGAGGGAGCCTGAGAGATGGCTACCACATCCAAGGAAGGCAGCAAGCGCGTAAATTACCCAATCCTGACATAGGGAGGTAGTGACAATACATAACAATACTGGGCTCTTTCGAGTCCGGTAATTGGAATGAGAACAGTTGTAAACTCCTTGAACGAGGATCCATTGGAGGGCAAGTCTGTTGCCAGCAGCCGCGGTAATTCCAGCTCCAATAATGTGTATTTAAGTTGTTGCAGTTAAAAAGCTCGTAGTTGGATTTTAGGTGGGAGGGGTTGGTCCGCTCTTGCGGGCGTGTACCGGCCCTTTCGCCTTTCTTGCCAAGTATGCGTTCCTTGCCTTTATTGGCTGGGATCCAGGGCCGACGCTGTTACTTTCAAAAAATTAGAGTGTTCAAAGCGGGTTTGTGCTCTGAACATATTAGCATGGAATAACGCGATAGGACTCTGGTCCTATTTCGTTGGTCTTCGGGATTGGAGCATTATTAATAGAGACGGTTGGGGGCATTCGTATTCCATTGTCAGAGGTGAAATTCTTGGATTTATGGATAACAAACTTCTGCGAAAGCATTTGCCAAGGACGTTCTCATTAAACAAGAACGAAAGTTGGGGGATCGAAGACGATCAGATACTTCCTAGTCTTAACCATGAACTATGCCGACTAGGGATTGGCGGATGTCTATTGGATGACTCTGCCAGCACCTTGTGAGAAATCAAAGTTTACGGGTTCCGGGGGGAGTATGGTCGCAAGGCTGAAACTTAAAGGAATTGACGGAAGGGCACCACCGGGCGTGGAGCCTGCGGCTTAATTTGACTCAACACGGGGAAACTCACCAGGTCCAGACATAGCAAGGATTGACAGATTGAGAGCTCTTTCTTGATTCTATGGGTGGTGGTGCATGGCCGTTCTTAGTTGGTGGAGTGATTTGTCTGGTTAATTCCGTCAACGAACGAGACCTCAGCCTGCTAAATAGTCGCGGTCCGGGTTGACGGCCCCCTTCAACTCTGGTCGAGGTGTCGGTCATGTCGGAACGGCACCATATTGTAGAACTCTCGGCAAACGAATATCTTGGCCCTCGCAACGATGAAGAGCGCAGCGAAATGCGATACTGAATGTGAATTGCAGAACTCCGTGAGCCATCGATACCTTGAACGCACGTGGCGCCCAAGGCTTCTGCCGAGGGCACGCCCGCCTGAGCATCATTGGATTCCTCACGACCTCAGCACCTTCCGTTTCGGAGAGTGGTGGGGTCCGTGGTCGTGGCTTCCCTCGCTTCCCACTTGGAGAGCGTCGATAGCCTAAGGTGGAAGGGAATCGGAGAGCATTCCGAGCGGGTCTGTGGGGGCCGCAACCTAGAGTGGTGCATTTCACTCCGCCCTGTTGTTGCCCTCCARCACCCGTTTGTGGGTGGTGGTCTTCGTTTCCCTCACAACGGCACGTAAGGTCGTCCCTCCGGTTTGTGTCGTCGCCACCTTCCATTCGCTCCCATCAGCTTGAGGTGGGCTTGCGGTTGGGGGTGTCGGCCTCGAGCTGTGGAGGTACGTCGGGCCTTGGCTTTTGATCTCAGGTCGGGCGGKAGCACCCGCCCAATTTAAGCATATAACTAAGCGGAGGAAGAGAAACCAAYGAGGATTCCCTTGGTAGCGGCGAGCGAACCGGGAATAGCCCAAACTGAAAATCCGGGGGTTGTGCTGCTCCCTGAATTTTAGTCTTGAGAGGCAACCTCTRCAGCGGGCCGTGTGCAGGTTTCCTGGAAGGGGACTCTGAAGAGGGTGATCGCCCCATCGATCGTCGGACCCTGCTGCTCAACGAGATGTTGTCCAAGAGTCGGGTTGCTTGGGAATGCAGCCCCAATTGGGTGGTAAGTCCCATCCAAGGCTAAATATGTGCGAGTGACCGATAGCGAAGAAGTACCGCGAGGGAAGGATGAAAAGAACTTTGAAAAGAGAGTTAAAGAGTGCTTGAAATTGC